GCGACAAGGCGGGAGTGCGTGCATGCATGCACGCAAGCGTCGGTGCGTCGCGCTGAAAATACCACTTTAAAAGCACTGCAATCAATTCTGACACATTAAGGTCTAAAAACTTCTTCTTGGGTCACGCCAGATGGAAACAATAGCCTTCTGAGTGGATTCCGTAGCGATTCGCCACCCATGCATGCATGCATGCAAGCAAGCATCCATGCGCACGGTTTAACTTTACAGACCCCAGAAGATAAGTCTCACGTGAAGTAACAATATTTCAGCAAAAAGTAAGACGGAATGCATGGAAAATTAGTCTGGGATGAGACTACAACAATTCTTGCAGAACGAATACGCTAATTGCGTTACTCACTGATGGGAAGCAGCCAGAGCCAGGCTGGCGGTTTGGTTTGTGACGCTCGTCTCACCGCGACTCCAGCCTCCCCCACCCCACCCTACCTTCGGAGGGAAGGGCACTTCCACGGCATGGGGGTAAAACGCACATACTCAGCCACCGCGGTCTCTCCCGAGAGACTCCCTGAAGCGGTCGCAAGCTTCAACGGAGGCTTTTCTTTTAAAAAAATGTGCCAATTACTCATCTAATACACCCTATTACACCAATTATAGCGCTAATACGACGCAAATACCACTATTACCAGTAATTACGGCCATTACGCAACTATTACCTAATACAGGCAGTATTACAGACCAATTACACACCCGACAACCGACTAATACCTGAGTGAATTCCCCCTCGGCTCCAGAGTCGCTGAATGGGACTCGAACAGAACTTGTGACCCCGCCAATGGATTGCTCTCCGAACGAGGAATCCATTGGTGGGGCCACACGTTCGGTTCGAGTCGTATTCGGCGACTGTGGAGCTCAGCTTTGGCCGCCTTCACCGGTCTTCTGGCCCACTGTGCGGCGTGCTGCGATGTGCTGGACGACATGTGCTCATCGCGTTATGGGACTCGCCTGCCTGCCTGCCTTCCGCGCGATGCTCGACCAGTGCGCGACGCGCGAGGTACAGTCACACCAATTAGCAGTGTCCCTCTCTCTCTCTCGCACCCCTCACGGGACGCCCCGCGAGTGAAAGAGAGAGAGACAGAGCGCCGTCGTGCGGCCAGCGCGGGCCAGCGCCAGCGAAGAGACGGCAAAGGTCACAATCAATTAGCCACAGGGGGGCCGAAAAGTGAAACAAGGCGAGACCGAGCCGCCTCACCTCGGGGACTCGGACAGAGACAGGCTCAAACTTTTTCTCCGATCCTGCCTTTTTCGGAACGGTGGCGGCGGCCGGGGGCGGGGGGCGGGGGGCGGCGGCCGGGGGGGGGGGCGGCGGCCGGGGGCGGGGGGCGGCGGCCGGGGGCGGGGGCCCCTCTGCTGCGCGCTGCTGCGCGTTGCGGCGCATGGAGCCCGCATGCACTCAGGCTGATGCCCAACAGTGCTATCACTCTGTCTCTCTCGCACTCATGGGCCGTCCCGCAACGAGTGCGAGAGAGACACTCGAAGCGCCGCCGTTCAGCCAGCCTAGTCATGCCTGGACAGTGTCCTGGGCACACCCACCCGACGCAACAACCACGCCACTGCGGGCAGGGCGGCAGGAGTTACCGCCGCGCGGGCCAGCCTCTCTGCCTCGCGGACAATGCGACAATGGAGCCACGGCGCGGCGTGCTGGCGTGGCACGGCGTGGCACGGCGTGGCGGCCCACAGCCAAATTCCACATTTCCAGTACGCAAGTCAAGGCAGCGCTTCGAAATTCAACGTCCAATCGCTGGGCATCGTTGCGGATGATCATGGCGGGGTCATCGCCGGTGATCATGGCGGGTGATCATTGCGGGTGATCATTGCGGGTGATCACTCTGTTCATCATTGTTGCGTGGAATGCAGCAGTGATTCACGCCCAGCGCGCATCCTGGCTGGCCGCTCAATGCCGGAAGCCGTCCAAGTCAGGTGGCCGGGCAGACAGACGGACGGACGGACGGACGGACGGACGGACGGACGGACAGACCGACAGGCGGGGCGTCGCACGCCGAAGACGCCACGCGAGACGACATGACGACGCCGTCCTCGCCGCGTCACATACCACTGTGGCTTCTGACAATGACCGACTACCTCGCAAAGAGAACTCGGAACGCGCAGTTCTGTCGCGTTCTGTTTGAAAAATTAGGCCACACCGCTAAAAATAAAAATACTCGAAATTTTTTTGACGCTTCAGCGGTCACGAGAGCGACAGCGTGAAATTCAGATTTCCCTAAATTGCAGACATTTCCTTTCCTTTCTTTCGACGCGTCTCTTTCTCAATCATCTCTTTTTTTGGGCTCGCAAATCGTGGCCACTTCCACGTCGCAACAATACGCATGCAACACTTTGGCCCCGACAATGCCAGTCCAGCCCTGGGCTGCCCTGGGCCAGCAGCCCCCCTCCAACGACACCAGTTAGCCAGGCCAGCGCGCGGAACAGCCTGACAAAAGCCGGCCCGCCGCCTCCGAAGAGCGTCGCTCTGTCTCTCTCACTCACGGGGCGTCCCACGGCGGGTGCGAGAGAGACAGACAGCGCGAGCCGGCAGGGGAGCGGCGCAGCCCTCTGGAAAGAGGGGGAGGGGCACCAGCGGGCACCACTCCATCAAGGTCCGGAGGAAGAGGACGACACACTCGCCACTTCCGGTCTCAAAATAGTCCCGAAATCCTCACCAGATACAGTGCACCAGATTTAAAACTTCACAAAAGGATCGAGAAAATTTACTGCAAAGGATACAACTTGGCCCAATTTTCGTTCGCAAATAGTCAAACAGCACTGCTCATTTTTTTTTTTGTGAAATTTAAATTTGAATTGTTATTTCTTTGTGGTAACGTTTTACTAACCGACTCAACTCCCCTGACAGTGGCGGCGACGACGCGCTAGGAGGACGTCCTGCCATGAGACAGAGAGAGAGAGAGAAAGAAAAAGAGAGAGAAAGGACTCGCCACTCTCACTTTCAGAGCCGCCGCGCCACGCTAGAGTACGCCACCAAAGCACAACCGCCACCTCACTACCACCACTACGTACACCGCTGGTGTGCCGCCGTCTTGCTCGCACTCGCAGCGCCCCAGGCACGCCCCAGGCACGCCCCAGGCACGCCCCAGGCACGCCCCAGGCACGCCCCAGGCACGCCCCAGGCACGCCCCAGGCACGCCCCAGGCACGCCCCAGGCACGCCCCAGGCACGCCCCAGGCACGCCCCAGGCGAGGACGCCCAGGCACGCCAGGCAACCGGCGCCGCGGCACGCCAGCAAGCCCTGCACGCTCGTACGCCCAGGCACGCCAGGCACGCCCGGCACGCCAGCACCCCAGGCACGCCCGGCCTGCGGCACGCCCCAGGCACGCCCAGTCCGAGGGGCGAGAGAGACGAAACGCTTAACGCGGCGCGGCGGCAGAGCAAGCCACTTGCACGACTTCGATTAGCCGGGGAGACACGCTGCGGCACTGCATCGACATCACCTGTCGCTCCGTCTCTGTCGCACTTGGCGGCGCCCTCCGTGAGGGCGCGAGAGAGACAAACCGCTCTCCTGGATCGCTCGGCAGGATGAAAAAATGTAGTAACGAGCAGGAGAGACAGAGAGGGAGGGAGAGAGAGAGGGAGGAGGGAGGGAGAGAGGAGGAGGGAGGAGGAGGGGAGGGAGAGGAGGGAGGGGGAGGGAGAGAGGGAGGGAGAGAGGGAGGGAGAGAGGGAGAGAGAGAGCAGGGGGGCAAGGGGTGTGATAGAGAGAGGGAGAGAGAAGGGGCCACTGCACCCTGCCAGCCCTGCCGATAACCACAATAACGCCGCTGCATCGCCTGCTGCCCTGCCCTGCCCTGGCTGCCGCGCTACGCCACGCCGTGCCGGCGAAAGCTTCGGCTTTCGAGCCACGCGACACGACGCCGCTCCAATGCGTCTGCCAGGCAGTGCCCTGGCAGCCAGTGCACCGTGCACGCCAGCAGCCAACGGTCAAACCGGATAATTACATAGCGCCCCCCCCCCCCTTTCCACTTCCGAAGAGCAAAAAAAAGCACTGCATGCGGAGGGGAGGGGGAAGCGCACCGCGGTGGGGAAGGGAGGGGAGGATATTCAAAAGGATATCAAAATACACACACAATAAAGGCCAACTTACTCTTTACCTGAGCCTCTGCCCAGCAGGAAGCTCCAGAGAGGGGAAAGGGGGGGATTAAACCCCTGTGTTTGTCCGCGTCTTGTTTCGCTTTTTTTTCGATCTAAAACCTGACACACTAGTCCTCGAGGACGCGTCCTTGACCCCCAAGGACCTCGAGGGACGCGCAGACAATCGCAGACACGCCCTCCGCGAAGCAGGTGCCGCGTAGCCGCGGTGCAGCAGGACGAGTGGAGCGAGGCGGCGAGGAGGCCTCCACACACACGCACACACACACACACAGACTCGGCGCTTCGCTGCGCGCTGCGCGTCACGGTGCGACACGGGTGGGGTTCGGGGACCAGGTCCTGTGAAGGCTGAAGGTCTGCAACCTGTCGTCATACTCCGGCTGGCTGGCCGGCTGTGCTCACGCGGCTCACGCGGCTCACGCGGTGACGAGCCGAGCGCGACGCACGCCGCACGCGCAGCCCAGCCGAGCCAGCGGCAGGGATCCGAGCCGGGCCGGCCGAGTCGCTTATCAGGGGAACCTGGCGTGCCTTATCAATGGGCGCGGCCAGTGCCAGTGCCTACACTGCATCGACAGTGCCGAGAGGGTCACAGGGTCAACGCACCTACGGCCCTGCAGGCAGTCCTGCAGGCTGCAGCCCTGCCCACTGTGCAGTACAGTGCCACCACTCTGTTCTGCTTGTCAACAAGCCAACGCAAACAACCAGGGGGCAGCGCAACGCAGTCCGCCTCCCCACACCCTGGATCGAAATCCTCACCACTTTCCTCACCCGTTTCAATATCTCACAAATAGTCCATGCAGTCAACGCCCAACTGATCACTGTGACGGAAGCTCACTCAAAACTGCGTCTATGTACAGAAACAGCAATCTCACTGAGGTACTCACCTTTCCGTTGTATGATGACTCTGAGAAGCGGTCTTGCATTCATGAGAGCTCTTCCTAAGTTGTCGTCATTATTAATGGGTAGGAGATCCCCATCCCTGGGATCCGTGTACGAAATGAGGAAAGGAACGTCTGTAAGTCTGTGGAGTTTCTCCACAAGATTTTTGAAGTCCTCATATCGACTAGCCTCATCTTTTGAGATTGAAAATCTGCGAAACTCTGCATCAAACTGGGGTAACAGAAAATGACCAGCTGAATTAGTATACAGTTTCGTTCAGAAAATATTAATTCATACATGAATGGTACTCGGTTAGAACAAGGAACACACAAGCATATTATTCTATCTGACTTTACATGAATCACCATTATATAAATTAAAACAGTAAAAGCATTCATAAAAATTTTAAGACGTCAGGGTGGGTGCTGGAGTTTTTAAACCACCATTGAAGCAGATTACAGGTGAGACTTGAAGGTTAGGAAATCTTAGTAAACACTACTGGTAAATGACTTTATAGAAAGCACAAACGAGTCTTAAGTGTAGTTCAGATTTTGAATTCCGTCCCTCAACATCAAAGGACCATATCAAAATTCCAATCCAAAACCTGCTCGATGGCAAAAATAATTTCTTTGAGTCTACACAATACTACTGGGCCGGTTGCAGCAACCCGAATTCTCGGCTAACAGAAAGGACACCTTCAAAACAGGCCCCAAAAGTGCCAAAGAAAAACGCGAGCTAAGCGGCCGAGAAGTTAAATCAAGCAGGTCAACGAGTAGCAACACCTCGAGAGAATCTGAGTCAAGCCGTGTGTCTAATTGCTCATTACATAGGCCTAGGTCGGCCTGCCTCTAACCCACCTTGCTCTTCACCTCCACTTGGGTACTGTCAACTTTGGCTACTGACGATTTAGAAATCCTCGACATGGCGAACACATTCACACTTCACACTGTTCGGACGCGTAATTTCGAATTCATAGTAAGCACAGCGAAGCTAAAACAACACAATATCCTTAAGTACTCATTGCAGGCTACGGGAGCCACTTTTTACGTCGAGCGATGTACACACACTGACGCAGTGCGCTGCGCACCGCGGCGGCGTGACGTCACAGCCTTCCCAAGCACGGCCCGCTAGATCGCCGCGGCTCGGATTCCTCAGCTCATGGCACTCATGGCGCCAAACGTTTCCGGATTTGAGTCATCGTTTCGAACGTTCAAACCACTCCTTGTGGCGCCCAAAACTTTGTCACATATTTCCAGTAGAATTCTGCTTTAATTTTCAGCGGAAATGAGTAAATTGGTAAATTTTGAGCGCAGTCGGCAAGGGACTATACTCTGGTTTGAGGCGCTTCACAGTTTCCGCTTACGCCCTCCCTCCTCTCCCCCTCTCCCTCCCTTTGCAACAAGTGTCATTCTGTCATTTCCATGGAGACGTGTGTTTATGTTTTTCAGCTCGGCCCCTGGAGTTTTCTTTGAAGGAGAGCGGCTCGCGTCGGTGCTGGCAGAGCCGTCAGCATGGACGAAGACGATTTGAGCTTCTCCAAAACGCAGAAGGTGACAGTTTCTCGCCCTTGCTCGGCCTGCTTTCCAGCTAGCGGTTTCTCTGATCGATATTACCAGAAACGAGGAGTGCTGCCGATTCCCCATTCAAACCTTTGCCTTTTCATTTCCCCTTCTTTCTTTATCATCTCTCCAAAACAAAAATTCACACATTTTTATCTGGTTTGATTTTCTGTAGTGTGAAGCAATGTAACACTTTATGAACTCCTTTTCATTCACCAGAGCATTGATATGAATATGTACACTGTGTTCCATGATTTACCGTTTTTGTTATTCAGGCCCCAGTGCGTAAGGGACGCAGGGCAGCTCCAAGCATCCCAACCTCGAGTTCGTTCGACACGAATGGATCAACAGAGGACCTGTTAGATAGTCCTACTTCAGGACCATCTACACCAGCCAAGGTTTGTAATATATTTGTATTATCCAGTGTCTTCAAAGGTAAAAGGTTTTAATCACCGCTCTTGTATCAGACTTCAGGACCTGTGGCACCACCAAGATCGAGACGAACAGGTGGCTGGGCAGACGAGACTTTGAAATCAGCAAAGTAAGAAACGTAACTATAATTTGGTTGCTTTTACTAAAAACTTACAAAGGAAGATTTGACGCTTTTACAATTTGTATTCTTTAGCCATTCCATTGTCACAATTTTTATTTGGACCCTGTTCTTTTACTGTAGCAATTATTATGTCCACGCTTATAAATGCACTTAGATTTGGTTTGTTTTTATTTTGTGATTTTTAAACATTTGGTTTTGTTGCTGCATGTTGTTTGGGTAGACCACATTCTCACATTTTGCTCTTCAGATCCAAAAATAATGTTCAGGATCCTGCTGAGCTGTAAGTAACACTAAAGATATTTTATTTGCCTGTTTTAAAACTCAGGTAGTTTCTTTAAAGATAAAGTAAAAATATCTGTGATTTTTCAGAGAGAGATTTAAATCACCGGAGAGGTCTAAGCCGGATTCTGATGATGGTGAGGTTCATTCTCGGCTGATTCAAAGCAATTATTGTAACTTAAATATTTTCTTTCACTCTCAAGGAACTAATATTTTGTTTTTTAGACATTCCTGTTATTCCTGATCTGGATGATCTTCAGGAAGATGAACTTGCCTCTCAAATAGCAAAAGCTCCAAGGTTAATGCTCATTTATCACAATAAACTGAGAGCACTTTGTTACTACGCTATGAAAGGCATTGATCTAATCCATGCCACTTATGTCTTTCAAATTTCAGTGTTGTAGTCAACAGAGTGGCCACCTACAAAGAGCTTGATTCTGATCTTTTCAAACATGCTGCATTTGCTACACTTGATGACATGAATTTGCGCCTCCTAACGAAACGGCTTAATGTGGAAGCCGATATTAAAGAGGTAAAACATGCTATAAAAAATGTGTAAGATCAAGTTAACGCTTGAAGGGCAGAAAAATTTAATGAAAAGGAAATAATATGTTTTTCAGCCGGATTCGTGTTGGACTTGGGACCTATTGTTCACTGATGTGGCATCTGATCTGAACAATGAACTGGAGCAGATTCAGAGTACTGGATAGAGGCCAAACTTTGGAATACAAATTTTGAAGGTTGTGATTAAAAAGTTCGACGCGCTATACAGCCTTCCAAAGCTACGTGTTAATTCTCATTTCACGGCAATAATAAGGGGCATGTTTTAGATTGTAAAATAGATTAAGTTTGCTTAAAGTTTCAAGTTATTTAGAACTAAGCGACTCAATACTCATAAACTAGTAGTATTTATCTGTCAGACATATCTACATCCATGTGATGCTTGTAAGATTTTTATAGTATGTTTCCAATCTTCTCATTTTATTGTTTTAATTTATTTATTGATTTTGCGCTTGTGTTTCAACTTGCTCATTTGTGTAGTTTGTTTCCAAGTTAGTTGTCAGTGAATTTTTATAGAAATAATGTTTGTGTGTGATTAAAAATTAAATATTTGAAATTTTTGATCATGTGAATTTAGCTGTTTGGACTTTGAGATTTGGCTTAGTTGTGAGGCTTTCTCTATTAGTTCAGTTAGAGCAATCCTTACTTATTTAATGTTATTGTTGGCACATCAGTATTATTGTCTATCGATCTCTGTACAAATAACCATATCACATAATTATTAAAGTGTTCTTGCATTAAAGTTCTTTCCAATATATTACAAAAACGTTATGCGTTTTTTTTGTTGTTTTTTTTAATGCCTGATCAATATTAGTTCAAGGCCATCATCCTCCATAATTTTTTGGCATTAAGACCGTGGTCCGTATTTAGTAAAAGATAGTCTTGTTTGAAAAAATTTGTTGTTACAAATTGTCTGTTACTGGATTCTGATTTTGACGATTTATCACCAACACCAATCCTCTGTTCAAACACGTACAAATTCACTTCTCCGCAAAATACTCTCCCTACGGGCTCGACCTATAGGGCCTCGCCTTGAGCTAGTTGAATTGACACGACAAAGTTAAGAAAACTTCTCTGCTCCGCCTGAGCGCCGCGTAGCTAGGCAACCCAACCGGCACCAACGGTATACAGTGGTGTTGGATGGGAAGCCTACCAGCCAGGCGCTCGAGCGCCGAGCCGAGGGAGGCAGTGAGTCCTCGTGGTGCATCTGCGCCACTGCTGCACTGTGGGCAGGAAGACCGGCGCCGGCGGCCAAAACTCTAGACGCGTTTTGAGCTCCAGAGTCGCTAAACGGGACTCGAACCGAACGTGCGACCCCACCAATGGATTCCTCGTTCGGAGAGCAATCCATTGGTGGGGTCATACGTTCGGTTCGAGTCCCATTTTGGCGACTCTGGAGCTCAAAAAGCTTCTGGGATTTCGACCGCCTCCACCGGTCTTCTGGCAAATCCACTGTGCGTTGCCCCACCAAGCTTCCCTTTCCACTGCAAGTGACGGCGACCTCGCGGTGACACTGGAAGGCAGTTCGGCGATCCCAGCAGATCATGGCAGAACTGTTTGCGCAAGGCGTCGCGCCGCGTCCCGCCCAGATGAGAGATGTCTCTCGGAGATGTGGGTCATGTCGAGGCTCTTGAGGGCCTCCTAGAGGGCGCAGTAGACTCATTCCGGGAGCCGTTTTTGTCGCTCTGTCTCTCTTGCACTCGTGGGGCGTCCCAGGGGGTGAGAGAGAGAGCGACGAGACAGTCTGCTGGCTGCCGCCTGGCTAGCTTGGCCTTCCCGAAGGTGCCAAGGGCCCACCTAGTGCCGCCGTCGACCGCTGCGTGGGGGTGGCGCTAGTGGCGCCAGCTGAGCTGAGGCTGGGTAGCACGTACCACCGACAACGCGCATCGTTTTTAGTATTTTCAACATTTTTGGGATAATTAGACATTTTCCTGTCTTATGTGTGACTCTCTCTCTTGCTCTGCGCCCACTGTGTGTGACTCAAGCGCCGCTCAAAAGCATTGGTTCCCTTGTGCAGGTGGAGGTGGCCTTCCCTGCAGTGTGGTCAACACCATTTTTCAATATTTTCTCTGCAGCTTTTCCCGTCAAGTTTGGCGCGCCCACCGACACACTGTGACACGCGTTGTTGGCACCACTGTTGGCGCGCCTGCAGACTGATTCCGAACAATGCTTTCGTCGCCCTGTCTCTCTCGCACTCATGGGGCACCCCGTGTTGGTGCGAGAGAGACAGCGACGAAAGCATTGTTCGAAACCAGGCTGCTGTACAGTGTGGTACAGTGCAGGGCGGGCTGGGGCGCTGCCAACATCTCCCCGGTGCATCGCGGGGCGTCGCGGGGCCGGGGGAGGCGGCCTCGGGGAGAAATTCCAATTCAACAGTGGATTGACGGCTGGTCGAGCAGGGCTGGCCGAGCACTGAGCAGCAGACGCTCGGGATCGGATCGGAACTACCAACCCTTGGGTAGAAAGCTGACAAGTCCATAGCGACCCGGCAGGGCTGCCAGCCGGGGAACTGTTTCGTCGCTCTGTCTCTGTCGCACTCATGGCGGGCGTGGCGCGCGTCGCGTGGTGTGCGAGAGAGACGCCGACGAGACGGTCCTTCTAGGCCCGGCGAGGCACGTGCGGGACCGACCGGACTATACCGATTCCAGAGGAAACCCCTTCTCTCTCGCACGCATGGCACTTGACGCTTGGGTGCGAGAGAGACGGTGCGATCGGACCTCCCGCTCAGCCCGCTGTCCGGAGTGCTTAGCCGGGGCACACGACAAGACGACAAGCGCGGCGTCGACGCGACTAGGCCGAGAGGAGGTGTGGATGGGGGAAAAGGGCCGTACACGACCACGACAAGGATGTTGGGCTCCGAATGGAGCGGGGTCCTCAGTCCTAGGGACGCCACCCAGCCACCCAGGTCGTCCACTACGGGCATTTGGCGAGCCTCGCCGAGCCCCGGCGAGCAAGACCTGTTCAGGCGGACGGACACGACGAGGAACCCCTTTGCGCCTCGGGTTTATGCCTCGAATCAAGAACGTGAGGGCAATGCACAGTGGGCCAGAAAACCGGAGGAGGCGCCCAAAATTCTAGACGCGTTTTGAGCTCCAGAGTCGCTAAATGGGACTCGAACCGAACGTGTGACCCCACTTATGGATTCCTCGTTCGGAAGGGCAATCCTTTCGTGGGGTCGGGGTCACACGTGCGGTTCGAGTCCCATTTAGCGACTCTGGAGCTAAAAACTCGTCTAGAGTTTTGGCCGCTTCCACCGGTCTTCTGGCAAATCCACTGTGCAATCCATTGGCACCCTCGCATGTTAGATTCGGCGCCGTGCGAGTTTCTCGCGAAGCGTTTCCCGCGCATATTTGAAATCGGCGGCGTCGCGTCGGCGCGGCGGTGTACGACGGTAGCGGGGTCCCAGGCGCTGGGATGACACCGGGATAGGGCCCGCAGCGTAAGGTGGGTCTGACGCCGCGATAGCCGCGGAGCCGCGCGGCCCATAGACATGTTAGGGGCCTAACTCACGCGGTGAAAGCACACAGGCCGAACAGTGCCTCGCCGCCGTCTCTCTCGCACCGCGGCGCACCGCGGCGGGCCGGCCCGTGAGTGCGAGAGAGACGGCCAGTCGGTCCCCTTGGCCAGGATGCGCGCTATCGCCAAGGAATCGCCGCCGCGCGCACCGCGCCGTCGCCGTGGTCATCCTCGTCGTCCTCCTCCACCACCTCGCCCACGCCACTGCTTTTAACATTTCAACGTTTCCGCGCCCAAACCGCGACGGGCGGCACGCGACTCGGAAGAAATCCGGGGACCGATTCCGAACTGTCGCGCCGTCTCTCTCGCACGCGTGCCGCGGCACGGGACGCCGCACGCGACGCCGCACGCGACGCCGCACGGGACGCCCCGCGCCCCGCGAGTGCGAGAGAGACGGAGCGACCCGTCGGGATGAGTCTGGCGTGACCTTAGGAAGTCATCCGCGTCCACCCACGGCACTGCCGCGCCACTGCCGCGGCACTGTGACGCAGTGATAACATTACGGCTTTGGTTTTACTGCGGGAGAAAGTGACGACATCTTCGGGATGCTTTCGGTGCTTTCGGAGCTTTCGGTTCGGCATCGGCCCGGGCGGGGCGGGGCGTTCCCGGAAAATGGTCGCCCCGGGCGGAGGAGATGACATCTCTCTGGCCCACGGACGTAACAGCGCATCCACATGGGGTCCTACCTCCTGCCACGGCCGTCCCGGGCCTTTCTTTTAAACACCGCGTGAGTTTCGGCCGGCTTCGATTGGGCGCAGTAGCCGTTGAGCAACATCAACTCATTCAACGATTTTTTGGGACATTCGTCAGCTGTGAGACCCGTCACTATAGGGGTATCTGGAGCGCACGGAAAATGAGATTAACGGAGCGGTTTCAGGGCCGCCGGAAGTACTTTCTGGTGGGGGGGCAAAATTTTAATGAAAAATTGTTGGGTTGCCTACCGTTAAGGGGCAACACCCAATACGGTTTAGACTTCTCTAATAGTGTTCCAAATCCAGCGGGGGCAAAGCGAGCTTAAAGCGAAAATTCACACAATTCTAGACTTTAACACAACTTTTGCCATTTTTAGAGCTTAATCACACGCTTTATTGGGGGGGGCGAAGCGAGCCAAACGGAAAAAATAATGGAGGAAAATTAAGAAAACCGGCAAAGCGAAGGGAAGCAAGAAGCCAAAAATCAAAAAAATTTGCGACTTTGCTATATTTTTCTCTCTATTTCGAGCTCAAAATGGCACTTTAGTGTTTAAAGGGGGGGGGCGATGCCCTCCCACCAGATTTTGGGGGGGGGGGGGGGGAAGTCGCCCCCCCCCCCACCCCACTTCCGGCGCCCTTGCCAGCGTCAAACAGCGAGGCTGTGCCAGCGTCAAACAGCGAGGCTGTGCCAGCGTCAAACAGCGAGGCTGTGCCAGCGTCAAACAGCGGGGGCTGTGCCAGCCCCAAACAGCGAGGCTGTGCCAGCGTCAAAACACGAGGCTGTGCCAGCCCCAAAACCCGCGAGGCTGTGCCAGCGTCAAACAACGAGGCTGTGCCAGCGTCAAACAGCGAGGCTGTGCCAGCGTCAAACAGCGAGGCTGTGCCAGCGTCAAACAGCGAGGCTGGCCAGCGTCAAACAGCGAGGCTGTGCCAGCCCAAAAAGCGAGGCTGTGCCAGCGTCAAAAAGCGGGCTGTGCCAGCGTCAAACAGCGAAGGGTGTGCCAGCCCCACACAGCGAGGCTGTGCCAGCCTCCAAAAGCGAGGCTGTGCCAGCGTCAAACAGCGAGGCTGTGCCAGCGTCAAACAGCGAGGCTGTGCCAGCGTCAAAAAAGCGAGGCTGTGCCAGCCTCAAACAGCGAGGCTGTGCCAGCGTCAAACAGCGAGGCGTGCCAGCGTCAAACAGCGAGGCTGTGCCAGCGTCAAACAGCGAGGGTGTGCCAGCCTCAAACAGCGAGGCTGTGCCAGCTCAAAAAAGCGAGGCTGTGCCAGCGTCAAACAGCGAGGCTGTGCCAGCCTCAAACAGCAGGCTGTGCCAGCGTCAAACAGCGAGGCTGTGCCAGCCTCAAACAGCGAGGCTGTGCCAGCCTCAAACAGCGAGGCTGTGCCAGCGGGCAAACAGCGAGGCTGTGCCAGCGTCAAACAGCGAGGCTGTGCCAGCGTCAAACAGCGAGGCTGTGCCAGCGTCAAACAGCGAGGCTGTGCCAGGTCAAAAAGCGAGGCTGTGCCAGCGTCAAACAGCGAAGGGTGTGCCAGCCTCAAACAGCGAG